CCTGTTGTTGTGTCTGACAGAAGAATAATGTCGTTGTGAAAGAGCAATCTTGTCAGACATGAAAAGCGATTCTTTAAATTTTAATTCCAACCAGCTGGTTTCGTGATTGCCTAATCCTTGAAGTGGACCTGTCATCGTATACTGTATATATATTTAATGTTACGCATTATATTAAGTAACGCATCCTAGTAATTATTACCTCGCAGAGATCACATGACTCACCCGGTCAAGGCCCTGATCTGGTTTTCTCTCCAGAAGGATGGTGCCATCTATGTTCAGGCATCATCCAGGGTCACCATCTTCTTTCTGGACTGAGATTACCGGCTCAGACATGAGTCATGTAAATCTTGGTGTCTGTACATTTCTTGGCTGTGTTGGCAAATGTGTGACAGCCCAGCCCCTGCTGTAGTCTCTAAGGGCCCATTCCCACCACATCCAGATCTTCAGACCAGATTGTTTCCGGACCCAGAATGCATCCTAATGTATCCCTATGCTATTTCTTGCTTCTGTTCACACCAGCGCGGTCCGTTCCAGGACAGAAAAATACTGCAGTTCTCATTTTGTCTGCATCCTAATGTATCCGAATGGAATGCACTGAAAGGCATCAAAAACGCATGCAAATGCATTGGAACGCACTTATAAGCCCATTTTTAAAAAAACGCTCCGGACCGCAGCAAAAACGCGGCGAAGCGCAATGCACTGCGTTCCAGATCTGGTCCGGAAAATGGTGCGAACCTGCCCTAAAGCTTGTGACCTTGCTACAATGTTGCAGTCTGATCACTGTGGATAGGAAGTCACCGTAACTCCAGACATGACTCTACATTGGGTAGAACAGCGTCACAGACAGACTGACGGTTCGGGGTCTCGTAGGCTACCTTTCTCAAGGCAACCTAGAATTACTCTGTTTCATTGATAAAGGAAACCTGCGAGGCCCCAAAATGGTGGTATAGAAGTCTGTGTCGTTGTTCTTCACATGTCTGGGGTGCTTGTATCCCTTTTGATCTGGTTTTGGCAAGGTGCCATCAAACGCCATCACTTCAAGCACCCCACCTTTTAGCTGAAGGTCTAGTCTAGTACCATCAGGAGCTTTCTATATGGATCACTGGGGAAGGGGAGACTGAGCAGACTGATGGCATCATCTCTGCCCTGGGAAAGTCACTGGACTGGATCACTGGTTTGAAAATGGTGACCACCATCTTTGCTTCTGTCAGTTGTTTTTCTTGAAGATTTTTGTATTTCCCTGTAATGCAAATTAGAATTCAAACCAGGAGAGCAAGACTTCCTTCCATGGAATTCTGAAGGTGGGCAAGCTGGTAAGTTGGTTATGGATACTGCACTACCTGGGCCTCAGGGAAGGGGGGTGGGGAGAGAGAAATTGGTGGATGGTTTAACTCTCCAACATCCAACAAAAACGGAACAGTATGAGTCTGACGACACGACTCCACCTGATCGGCCGGGGGGTGGGGGGGTTTGTAAGGAGGCAACCAAGGCTTTGGAGGTATAAGACCCAACATGTAGACGCCAACTATAGGTCTCTGGGAACTGAAAATGGTGCAGGTCTTTGGTGCCAGCTGTCGAGGTTCCACATGTCCTAATGGCTGAATCAGTTCTGTCCACATTCAAGTCTGGTCTGTGCTTTGTTTGGCCTCTTGATAGAATTCGGTGAGCTAAGGGGTGCTTGGGGTGTCACCATGCCTCTTCTGACCTTTAGTTCTCTGGTAAGGTCCATACTGATGGGTATTGCTTTGGCCAACGTGAAACAAAGTTTGCCAAAATTAAGTCCAGTGAGATGTCATTCATCACAGTGGTGAAAACCAACATGTTTCAGGAGCTTCTCTGATCCCGGGGGTTATAAAAGCAGAGGTTGAAGGGTAAGTGGGCCGAGGGCGGGGTGCTGAAATTGGGTTGTTGTGCATTTGCTTAATTCGCCGCTCTCGCAGCCTTTAAGGTCCTTTTTTTATGGCGTCCGTTGGTTTGTAGGGCAGCTGCCTCCGAGCTAGTAGTAGGGATTTAATCAAAGACCAGAATGCTCCCCTGGACTGGGGTCCACCACACCGCCAGCACATCTCTCTGATCTCTTCCACAGAACCGCTGCACCTCAACCAGTTATTTAGATTTGAATAAAAATGTGTTTCCTTGTGTGTTTGGAAATCACCTGAAAGTAGCTCCAGGCTGAATCGCATTCCTCCCGCGGTTCATTCTACGTCCCACCCAGATGATGAATCCCAGCCCAGCCCCAAAGGGGCCATTTTAGTAATTCAACCAGTTACATAAGGTTTTCTGTGCCTGAAGGTGCCATGTACGGTAAAAAATGACTGATGTGACAGTTGTCAGTGTGCAGATTGGGGTTGGCTTACGAGATCTGCTCATGGCACCTGCACTAGTATAGGGACCAATGGGGATCTGCCTGTGGTGGGTGACGCCACTTTGGTTTCTGGTAATGCTGGCGAGCGGTAATCTCTTTTTTTTTGTGTTGCAGATTTAAGATATGTGTGTATATAGTGTGGCATGAAGTGGGTATGGAGTTTCTATCTGCAGTGGGTATGAGGGAGTATAGGGGCAAGTCGAGTAATATCTGCAGTGGGTATGGGGGAGTATGGGGGCAAGTGGAGTTTCTATCTGCAGTGGGTATGAGGGAGTATAGGGGCAAGTCGAGTAATATCTGCAGTGGGTATGGGGGAGTATGGGGGCAAGTGGAGTTTCTATCTGCAGTGGGTATGGGGAGTATATGGGCAAGTTGAGTTCCATCTGCATCGAGTATGGGGAAGCATATGGGCAAGTGGAGTTCTATCTACAGTGGGTATGGGGGAGTAAATGGGCAAGTGGAGTTCAGCAGTAGGTATGGGGAGTATATGGGCAAGTGGAGTTTCTATCTGCAGTGGGTATGGGGGAGTATATGGGCAAGGAGTTCTATCAGCAGTAGGTAAGGGGGAGTATATGGGCAAGTGGAGTTCTATCTGCATCGAGTATGGGGAGTATATGGGCAAGTGGAGTTTCTATCTGCAGTGGGTATGGGGGAGTATATGGGCAAGGAGTTCTATCAGCAGTAGGTAAGGGGGAGTATATGGGCAAGGAGTTTTATCAGCAGTAGGTAAGGGGGAGTATATGGGCAAGTGGAGTTCTATCTGCATCGAGTATGGGGAGTATATGGGCAAGTGGAGCTCTATCTGCATCGAGTATGGGGAGTATATGGGCAAGTGGAGCTCTATCTGCATCGAGTATGGGGACTATATGGTCATGTGTTCTATTTGCAGTTGGTAACGTCACTTTCTTGCTTTTTGCTCATGCAGCTTGAATCTTTCAGTCTTGTGCAGGGCACCATGATGTGGCAATGGTGTGCTAAGCATCATGACGGTGACTGTTGACTGCTCTTCATGCCCCTGCAAGACTACTTCCTGTTCCAATGCATTCCCTAATTGCACTATGGAATTGTTCTGTTATGTTCTCTGACTACATCTCATTTTTAATGTGAAAGGGCATTATTTTATTTTTTTCCAAGTTACAATGTATCTCATTTCTTAAAAAAGGAAAAAGTGTTGAACGGCTCTTTAGGCTTTCCCGCTAGTTCCCATTCATTTTCAATCTGCAATCCTCTGACATGCATTGCACTGCGGTATCCGTGACCCATCTGCAGCAGATGATTGAAGTTCAGATGTAAGTGATGGAATCTTAGTGATGCGTCTCGATGATACGGGGATAGGAGTGGTCGGAATCCTGAAGAGCTTCAGATTCTTGCTGTTGTAGTGAAAAATGATTCTCGATACCTCAGGTACCCTCGTCACGGCTCCGGGAATCTCGGATAAAACTGTGGGGGTCTCATGCCAGAAGGAGGAGTCAGTGAGACGGTCCAATGAGAGGTGTTTGTGTTCAGTGCTACGTAGAGGTCTCTTCTTCGGAACAAGTATATGAAGTATGTGCACGTAAATCAAGACAAGGAGATGAAACAATATCGATGTCGGATATTCTGTTACATTTCTGATATCGATAGCGTTTCTTGTGCTTGGCCTAATGATTGCATGTCGTCTTCCACCCATTTGCCCTGAAGAAGAGAGACCCTGAAACGCATTCTAATTGTATCAATCACTCACATGGTAATGTCTCACTCCCATTTGCCATCCACCCTCCTTCACATTTGAAGTAGCTTCCATCAGATTCTGATTCTCCTCGGAACGATTGGCTGGGATCCATTCTATGACTTCTTATTTGCCCGGTCCATCCATAAGGAAGGAGGGGGATCAGAGAACAAAAAAAGGTCTTAACTCAGGGGGGTCAAACTCTATTTAATCGTGGGCCGCATCAACATTATGGTTGCCCTCAAAGGTATCTAAGTACTAATAAATGTATCTAATCTTTATCATAATTGCCTACTGCATTCCATTATCACTGGTTTTAGTAATAACTTAATACCTAGATCTGAAAGTAGAAGTCTAGGAAATGGCCTGGTGGGCCTTGAGTTTGACACATGTACCTTTATGCAGCTGGGCGGATCCAGACATAATTGTCGGGATCCGCTTCAGCTGCGGCGTCTCACTATATTGCAAGCTGTAGCTCCCTATATACTGAGCCTAGGGTGACGGGAGGACGCTAGTTTGTGTCCTCCCGTTACCCTAAGGAGAACTATGGGGAAAAGCCTTAACCCCATAGTTCTCCTTTAATGACTAAGCTGCTTCAGTCTGAAAAGGGCCACAACCCGTGAATCTTCATCAACTCTTAATGAAAATCCAGCCAACAAAGTACTGTGGTCCCCAGCTGATGGTCTCCAACCACTAACATGTTTCACCTTCTCAGGCTTAGTCATAGAATGATACCATTGATCCATGAGGGTGAAATGCGTTGAAGGTGGGAGACCATCAGGTTGGGGACCACAGTACTTTGTCGGCTGGACTTTAATGAAGAAAGAGTTGCTGAGGATTCATAGTGTGCGGACGTTTTTGGGCTGAGTTGCAGTGAGGTGTGGATGACTCCCGGCCTGGGACCTGGATGGAGCAGTAAAAGGCGCTCATATTTGGATGTACTACATTTGCCGGCTTCTAAATATTACAATATAGCGGACCAATTAATGAGCAGCATCTTAAAGCTGTTCAAACTGCTTCACCTGTCAAAGTATTTCTCTTTCTGCCCTTTAAGTCCTGAGATTTACACAACTCTGCAACATAGCACAGCAGGGGATGCAGACCTGCTTTTTTTTTTCCTCTGCTGCAGTTCAGCAACGCAAGTCTTGTCCCTCCCCCAGCCTGTGATTGGACAGTAAAAGGAGAAGCAGCAGACTGATAAGCTCATCTCTCTGCTCTCTCCTATCAGCATTGCCGAACAGCCGATTTAGTTTTTTTTTGTGCTGCTTCTTTCCACTCCCAGTCTGAGCTCTGCTTTACAGGGACTGCAGGTCAAACTCGGGCACTTACCCTGCTTGTCTTTTAAAAATACATACAATGGTGTATTCATGAATACAGAGTTGCATCAATCTGCCTGGAGTTCAGCTTTCAGAATCTCAGCCAGAAGGTTTGCCTTTGTGTGCAGGAGACAGGTCCTCTTTATTGTGAACCATGTGTAATGTTGTGCAATGTTTCCCCGCAGAACAACGCTTCCAAGCTTCTGCTCGCCATCATGGAAAGCCGACACGACAGCGAGAACGCCGAGCGCATTTTGTACAATATGAGGCCTAAAGAGCTGGTGAGTTTTGGAAAGGGG